GTATATTTATTAGTTATACATTCTGTATATACCACTATACATTAAGTATAATATAGTATACTTTACATATTTACTATTCTATACTATACATATATATTAAAAACTCTGAAAATATTAACCGTAAAAATATCAGTAAAAAAAGTCAGGGGTGAACAATTAGGAGCCGCGTAATAAATATAAATATTAATTTTCGACATTATCTTACATACCTAATTTTTTTTTTTGACTCAAAACACATACGCATTATATATACAACCAAGACTTTCAAATTTTTATCAACCTTCAGGCAGTTGCCTCACAAATTATAACACGGTTACACAAAAACATAACAAAATTTATGCAAAAAAGCATACGTAATAATTTATGCTGTATAATCATTTATTGATACGTATTGTAATCTTATACGTACGTATATATTAATCTGCACAATGTATTACCGTCGTTGATTTGCATAAATTTTTGTTATGTTTTTTTTGTTGTTTTTGTGTAACCGTGTTATACTTTGTGAGGCAACTGTACGTACGTAGTAATTAAAAAATATTTGTAAATTTAAATTTTCTTCATAATGACTATTGAACCATTACGACCTGTTGGGTCCATATTTGATATAATCACTGGTTTAATTGTACGTAATAAGAATATCCAGAGCCGTTGGATTTCAGCGGAAACTTCGTTTCTGCCTGTACATATACGGATTAGATATTTTACTACGTAAATATCCGTCTTCAGAAAACCTTACTGCTACGTCTTATGACCATAGTTATGATTACGACTCGACATCCTAATAAATAATCAATTATAATAACAACTACGTATATCATGAAATATAATCAATTTGTTCAAATTTAACGCTAAAGTTTTAGCGATATGATCGAAAATATTTTTATTTCAGTTGCTGCTAAATAAAAATAAGTTCATAACGATGGTAATATATAGAAGACTTAAAACAATTGCATAATTTGATCTTTGATTCTGAGCTTTAATTTTTACGTAAACTATATTACTTTACGGAGATGATAGAACGGCTCATGATATAACTAAATACTTTGAAGTTTATTTATTTACATTTACAATAACTAAATAGATAATAATCATAGCAACAAGCATTTGTCTTGTCCTATTATTTAACCATTTCATGTTTCTTAAAGAAAAAAAAGCATAAAGGAAATAATATCAAACACAGAAATGTTAAACATAGTTGATGAAATTTAATCGGAAGAATCTAAATCAAAGTATAATCTAAATTGGAAGCAATAGAGGGAGAAGAAGAAGAAAAATTGCTAGGTAAAGAATGTGTGTCACTAAGATTAACGGGCATGCCATTATTTGCCATAATAGTATCAAAATTTATTTGATTAGGAAGAAGACCTTGTATCGATTGAGGTTCTTCGTTATAGTCGAGATAGATAGGAATGAATACGCCAAATTTATATCCTGTTGAAGTCAATGCGTGTTCTCGTTCGATATTTGCAGCTTCATCGAAGTTACTTTCAAAACCGTTAGTTGATCCACTGGAAACTTTTGGTCCTCGTTTTTAGGTGTAATATAAATACACATAAGTGCCTTGGGAACACTTTACATGCTTTTTTCTACAATTAGTACATGCGTTAGTCGCGTAACGGCTTCGCCTTTGTTGATTTGGATAAGACATTAGAAAAAGTGGATGTGGCAAAATGGATAGTTGCTATGATAGCCAAAATATCTTAAAAGGTATTGTTAAAAATGAAATTAAGCTTTGAAATGTAACGAAAGGCGAGAATATGTTCATATTTATTAATTTCTGATGCAATATTATCGTTAAATTTAAATATGTAATTATTTATATAACAATAAGTAATAAGAAGGCAAAGTAAAGTAAAACGTGATATTATATTTAATCTTGATATCCGTACTGTAAATTCAGATTTAAATTCATTAAATCACTAATTCGGGTTTGGAATTCAGTAAATCATATTTTACATTACACAACGTATTTTATTAAATTCATTATTATTTTCGCTCGGATTTCATTTCAAATTACAACATAATCAATTCAATTTGCACAGCTCAAATACTTAAGATACATATGAAGAAAACTATGGGAATGGAGCTGCCGCCGCCTATTTCGGTTCTTTAACACCTTAACATATTTCTATTTCTTTAAACAAATCATGGGATGTACACAGGTTTCATTTACTTCTCAGAACAGTGTGGGTTTGCACAGCTGTTTCGCTTCTACTTCTCAAGAACAGTGTGGGGTTTGCACAGCTGTTTCGCTTCTACTTCTCAAGAACAGTGTGGGGTTTCCACAGCTGTTTCGCATCTACTTCTCAAGAACAGTGTGGGGTTTTCACAGCTGTTTCGGTCTACTTCACCAGGACAGTGTGGGGTTTACACAGCTGCCTTATTTCTCTAGTGTGATCTCGTGATTTTACAGCGTTGAATAGCATCGATATGTTGCTTCTTGCTGAGTAGTCACCTAAATTTACTTCTTTTGAGGAGAGGTGGGCGGGAAGAACCTTTCGATTAGCCAGAAAATAGGGTTTCGGACAACTACTAAAGCAGCGAAAGAAAAGCACAACTTCCCTCTTTGCATTCGTGGCTTACTTATACTTATCATTAGACTCGCAAGATCAGTGACCTC